CTGTAAAAATCTATGTTCTAATATATACAAATAAAAATACATGATTTAAATAATGAAACAAATACAGTAGCTTTTGTTTGGGACTGCTTGTTTGTTGTTGTTAAAGGGAGTGTCCTATTAGCTCCTCACCTGGTGGATGTTCCAGATGAAGGCTCAAATCCAGAGCCTGATCCAGACTACACAGAATACATGACTGGTAAATCCAATGCCAAATTCAATCACTCTGGAAGCTCCATTTCTGATGGAATGCCAGGTCTTGACCTTTCGGACCCAAAACAGCTGGCAGAATTTGCTAGGCCTGGTCACAAATTGAAAGTACGCAAACCACCTGTTTTAGACGGTGTTGAACGCACTATAGCCTGTCCACACAAAGGATGCACAAAAATGTTCAGAGATAATAGTGCAATGCGTAAACATTTACACACCCATGGACCAAGAGTACATGTATGTGCAGAATGTGGAAAAGCTTTTGTTGAAAGTTCGAAATTGAAGAGGCATCAGTTGGTTCATACAGGAGAAAAACCTTTCCAGTGTACATTTGAAGGATGTGGTAAAAGGTTTAGTCTGGACTTCAATCTTCGTACTCATGTTAGAATTCATACAGGAGATAGACCTTATGTTTGCCCATTTGATGGATGCAGCAAAAAATTTGCACAATCAACAAATTTAAAATCACATATATTAACACATGCAAAGGCTAAGTAAGTAATCAACTTATTATTTTTTAACTGAAAGGTAATAAAAAATTATTTGATAACATGAAATGTTTAATTTTTATAGGTCACGTAATGCTATTGGGAGACAAGTACAACAAATACAACTTCAACAACCTCAATTTGTTCAAGTTGAAGTTGCAGATGTGGATAACCAACAGTTCATTGTTTATGCTGATTAGCCCCCCTAAACAATGATCTCATATCCTATAAACCTATTATGGAATATCGTAATCATTAATTAGTATCCTAAACAGTGTAAATATTTTCATGATACAAGTAATGCGGGCAGGACATTACTAAAGCTGTTAGTTATCTTAAGAGAAGAAATTAATTAATCAATTTATACCTCTGTGCTTAGACGCAAAGTAAATGGATATCACAAGCACTATAACTACCACAAAAATAAAGTAAAACTACACTAAAGAAGGTAGTGCATCTTCTGAGACATATAAAGTAGAATATTGCGCACTGCTCAATCTCATGTCTGAGTCACACTAAATGATACCTAGTGCGCTCTCATATTACAACTGTATATATTTATACGTAAAGTAAAATATTGTATACAGTATATTTTGGAGAAATTCTGATGAGAATAAACTACAAGATACGTCTTTTCCGTCGGACTCAATTGTACCACTTTAATATACTTTTTACACTACATAAATGGTAATTGTTAATAGTCATTGGAGGAAAGAAACATAAATGCGTCTATTGTGTATTATACTTTAATGTCCGCAAAATATGATACATTTATTGCTGTAAAATTATTAAGATGTTTTTAAGTATTGTCTATCCAAATAGGCACTGAAAGCGTTGTAAGATCAATGGATGCGTGTTTAATATTGTCGGCATTTAAAAAAAACCGATCAATTCGAAAGGCGTACGTTGACATAATATATTTTATCCGTGATATTCACGAATACATTGTGATGTATACACGTACATCGATGCAAGGACGTTAACGAAGTTGTTAAGAAATTCGTGTCATTTCAAAGTAGGAAGCAATAGTTTATAGATAGATTTATAATATCGACTGTATTAAATAGCGATTGCGTGCATCCCATTACATCGTTATTCATTAATATTCGCATATCACAATTTTATACATGCAGCTACAACGTTAAAACCTATATCTATAATTCAAACTATATATTAATTCTAGAATTATTTAAAAAA